CAGTAAAGAACAGCCGCTGCAGCTCTGGGAGTCTTGACGGTGTAGACTGAGGGGTGCATGAGAACGACAAGCAGATAGAACACCAACAGACGAAAAGATACAGAACAACGAACTGCAGCACCCGTTCAGCAACAAAAGCTGAGACGCGTGCGCTTAGCTGGCGACGGCCGCTGCTGTTGCTGCAACAGCCGTGCAGCACTTAAGCACACGCGGGCATGCATGCATGCATGCTTGCATGCATCTCTGGATGTATGAAGCCGGACAGCTAGCTAGTTAGCTAGCTTCATTCTTCTCGGCTGCTTGACAGACAGGAAGGTGAATGCACAGAATTAGTCGTTGCGGCTTCCACCTGCTGCTGAATTGTTGCTCAGCAGGCGGTCCGCTGGGGTGTACGTGCAGTAAGCCCATAGCGGACTTCTCCTGCCTCGGGGGTTGCCAATGAGAAAAATAAGCTAACACATGGCTGCTGCTTCTACCGCTGCTTGGGCGCCACCATGCGGGCTTGAACTGCCCTATGCAGCGTGTAACTACGGTAGAAGAACCCGCACATATGAATGATACAATACAATTCATTTAATTATTTCAGTTAAGATACAGTGCATACGAACGATGCAATACAATCTAGTTGGTTATTTCAGCCAAGATAGATGAAGTTAACTCCACTCCACACGCACTGCCTCGCAGGCACCGAAGCAAATACACACAGCAGCGCATGAACAGCCTGCTGCAGTGAATACCAAAGTAGAACACGGCTTAGCCAGAACGAACTCTTTCTTCTCCTCAAATTGCAATTCAAACTCTGCGTGCATGCATAGGCGTATCCATGAATGTCAAAATGCATCCTCTACAAGCGTGCAGAAGAGGGTGGTATAACTCTATTTTCGTATTCATATTGTACGCGCACGCATGCATGTCATGGCGCGTTGTTGTATGAAAAGCTTGTATTTGAGCGAAAGACTATCTATCATTCATGCATTCCTGGAGATGTATATCCTGAACAGTA